GTTCAGCCCCTATTGTGGGCTGTTTGGCTACTTTAAATCCATGAAGAGTATAAAGTAACTGGGCATGTGCTTTTTACAACCGCTTTGACCAAACATGGCATGCTTTAGTGGGTGGAGCCACGAGGGGAGAGTCTGTTACCAACCTTTATAACCTTTTATTAAAGGCAAGCACATGCTGTAAATCCCTGTATCCCAGCTACTGCAAAGGCTGAAGTGGGAAGGTCACTGGAGGCCAGGAGTTGCAGGACACCATGGATTGACTTAGTGAGACCTTTTCTCTTCAAGCTAACACACGTGTTCATTTGGCTGTATACCCCTCTTAGTAGCCACACCCCTGCTTATTTTCTGAGTATTATTAATGATAAAGTCAGAACAGAGAGTGGAAAATTAAATAGAGCTGAGGAGTTTGTTTTTTGTTTTGGTTTTTTTTTTTTTTTTTTTTTTTTGCATTTGAGAATAAAAAAAATTCCAGCTGACAGCCACCTAGCTTAGTTTCAATGGCTGAGACAGGCCCAGTAAAGAATAGCTTCAAAAAATAGTGCAGACCACAGGAAGATCTCACAACCACATCTTATTCTGATCAACTCCTTCTGATCTCACCCCTGAATCTGAGGAGGATAAAGATTCTGGAACCCACTGTTAAGTTTTGTAAGACTCATGCTTGTCCCAGCCTGATTTCTTTCCGATTCTGCCTCCCTTACAAAAACAAGACGTAATGGCTTAATGACATTCAAGACCACCACACTCGTTTCTGTTGAGAAGCAGGACTTCCAGAGCTGTCTTTCAAAGATCTTTCTTTTATAATTTTGGCTGTTTTCAGCTCACCTTATTTGTCATCCTTCTAAAAATTTTCATCTACTGTCATCCTGGGGTCCAAGTTTCAGTTCTTCTCATCTGTCCAGACTGCAGTAACCAATGTAATGTAAAACTATTAAAGCAATAATATGTAACCTTTGCTTATATGGCATCATTCAACAGACGCCAAACTTCAGGCTAAGGAGGGAGAACACTGCCTTCTGAATACTTGTGGGCTGGGGCTTGCTTCCCCATGTAAAGGCGTCTAAGATGTTGGACAGACTTGGCATAGCTATCAAGGCTGTAGTTTCCAAGGCTCCCTTGTTAAACAATCCTATCTCATTCTGTCCCTGTTCCTGGCCTTGCAGCCTCGGTATTATCAGAGCTCAGACACTGGGCACATCACCCTGAGCACTGCAGCTGGCTCTGGGCCTTCCACACCTGCTCCAACAGAGCAAGCCTTACTTTTATTTGTACAAAGCACGGTTCAGTAAAACTCTGCAGCCTTGGACTATTCTTAACCCAAACTCACTGCACTTCTTTCCCGTTTGGAGAACCTCCATCCACACTGGCTCCTTTGGCCTCTCTCTACTTTTCTGAATCACTAGTCTTATGTCTTCCCACAACAGGCTCACTCCCATCTTGTACACCTGCATGTCTTCTGTCCACAGACGCATTACAAGGCCACCTACTCTTTGTAGAGGGGACACTGTGTTTCAGTATCTGCTCTGCTAGTTCTTGATTTTAAGTCTACCCCAGAGAATGTTCTCTTAACTCACCCCTTCTCTGATCTGGGTGTTCTTTGGTAATACTCTCTAGCTGCCTGAGGGAGGGACACTCAGGCTTTTAAATCATGATCCACAGGAAGAAGCCCATTTGATGACACAGGAGACACAGGCCTACACACACACACACACACACACACACACACACACACACACACACACGTACGCATGCGCACACATTGCCACTCACCTTGAAAATATAGTAAACTTAAATGCTCCACTAAGGATATACTTTACTGTTTTATTTCTAATTTTGCTTCATAAGAAATAAGATAGGCCAGGGGGTGTGTGCCTGTAATCCCAACACCCAGCGGGTCAAGTCAGGAGAATCAGGAGTTCCTAGTCAGCTGTGTAGTGAATTTTAGGGCAGCCGGAGCTATATGAACCCCTCTTTCAATTAACTAAAAATTGTGAGTAGAGGGTGGCTCAGCAGGTAAAGTCCCCCACTCCCAAACCTGACAACCCGAGTTCCATCTCCAGGACCCACTTGGTAGAGGGAGAGAGCAGACTCCGTGAGTTGCTCTCTGACCCATGGGTGCACTGTGGCACATGCACCTTCCATACATAGAGCTACAGGTAGATAAAAAAAATGTAATAAAAGATTTAAAAACTGAAAAGGAGGAAAAAGAGAAGAAGAAGGTGCTGTTTGGCCAAAAGCACACTTTGGAACCAGTATACTGAAAACCTCTGTCTCACGGACCCTAAGGCCACAGAAGCAAAAGAGTGCCGGAAGATATACTGTAAGTAGGAGGTGACTTAGGGGAGAATTTTCACAAAATATTACCATAAAAATAAGGACCACTCAAGATAGGTAATTTGTAAGTGAATGCTAGATTTTACCAATGATTTTGGATCTCCAAGACTTAATTCATTCCTTAATGTGTGTATATATTATATGCATAAATATATAATGTATGTACATATTTGCATATATGCATGTTAAATATTTTTGGAGAATCAAGGTCAGTCTAGTCTTCAGGCTTTCCCAAAGTGGATGAGGTCCTTGTTCTCTGGGTGTCCACAGTAGAATAGTGGAAGACACTTAATAATGGTGGGAACACAGGCCAGCGTTTTAAGGGTTATGATTAGGGCTCACGGACAGAGCCGGAAGGGTGTGGGCCTCCAGGAGGTGGCAGGCAGGGGAACTAGACAGGTAGGAGTGTGGCTGTTCTGAAGCTTGGAGATAAGGTACGCTTGGACATGTAGGGGTCACATGTGAATTGTCCCTATGAAGGGAGGCAAGGGCAGACAGAGTAATCCTCAAGCAAGTCAAGGTGTTGACTGAGGCTCCAGGGAGAACCCTGGGCTTAAGCAGGACTCCAGGCTCTATTTTCAACACCATTTAAGGCAGAATGGGGAGGACACTGACTGAAGAGTCAGACTAGAGCAGGGGTCTTACTAGGAGATTGCTGAAAGCCAAAGAAGAAATAGTGGGAATGACTTAGATGGCAGCAATGGTGGAGGGAGCACAGAAAAGGCTTATGAGAGGCGACAAGGATTGAGTAGCTGGTGGCTTGAATCAGAAAAATACAAAGTTTATGCCTGGGATTGCTCTCATATTCCCAACAGGCAATGTCAGAGTCAGTGGGTTTGTGTCACACGCGGGTGGGGGGTGGACTTCAATTACTAGGTTAGGGTGGCACTGAGACTCTTCCGACCTCATCTTAGTTAAGGTTACAATAGCTATGGTAAAACACAATGACGGAATAAGCTAGGGAGAAAAGAATCTGTTTGGCTTACACTTCCACATCTTAGTTCATCATTGAAGGAAGTTAGGACAGGAGCTCCAACAGGGCTCCTGAGAGCAGGAGCTGATAGAGGCTATAGGGGAATACTGCTGGCTGGTTTGTTCCTCCAGACTTGCTCAGTTACTTTCTTGTAGAACCCAGGACCACCAGGCCAGGTGCGGTACCACCTACAATGGGCTGGGCCCTCTCACATCAATTACTGATTTAAAAAATGTCCTACAGGCTTGCCTGCAGCCTGAACATATGGAGGCATTTTCTCAGTTGAGGACAAACAAGACTTTATTTAGCTTGTGTCAAGTTGACATTAAACTAGCCAGCACAGGCCTGAAAGATGCAGGGGAGCCTGGCCTGGAGAAGAAAGGGTTTAGATGAACCCATAAAGAAAGGTGGGACAGTAGAGTCTGGGGCTCAGGCCTTGAGAAGGTCTCCCGCTGAAAGGAGTAACTTACTCCGCTGAGCCTTTCCTTAGCTTGGCCTGGACACAAACACTTCCCTCCCCCTCCTGTCTACACCATCTGCAGATTCGCAGGCATTCTCAGATCCAAGCAGGAAGAAGCTTCCCTGTGCTTACTCAACACAGCCAGGGTCTGCTGTGGGTGTCATGGTTTCCCATCAGTGTGTGTGTGTGTGTGTGTGTGTGTGTGTGTGCCAAGTCCACTCCACAGGTCAGCGTAGGTGGAGGGAAGAAGGGTAGGGTGGGGGCTTTGGAAGAAAAACCCTCAATTTCCTCTCTAGTATATTGGCATTGAATATATCTATATCAATGGTCTATATCCCATTCACTTGGTTCGTGGAGATCCCAGCCCTAAGTTCAGAATGTTACTGCATTTGCAACCTGTCTTCAAAGGGGTAATTAAGTTGCAACTATGTCATAAGTTTTCATAAGAGATTTCGATAGCGACAGGATCAGGGAAGACCAGGTGAAGGCACAGGAAAGAGGGACATCTATAAGCCTTAGGAGAAACGCCAAGCTTGCCAGCCCCTTGATCTTGGCCGACCGAATTCCAGAGCAGCAGGGAAATAAGCCCTCCACAAAGTCCCGAGTTTGTGACTTCTCAATAGTCAGCCCTAAGCAAACACACTTACTTTGCTTTCTCCTTTTGGGCCTGTTCGGTGTGAGCTAGGAAGAAACTCCAGAGGGGGGAAAATAAGAACTGAACACCCTGAGTAAGCTAGCAGGAACTGGAAGGAAGTTCAGTTCTAACACTGCTCAAACAGAAACGTAATGTTTTTCCTTAGATAGATGTCTCTGTCGCTCTGCTCTTCACACAGCGTTTCCACAAACTTGAACTCAGCATCACCTCAGAGCTTGTGAGAAATGCAAAGTGCCTGGCCCCACCTGCAACTTGAGTGGCAAAGGTTTGAAGTCTTGTGTTAATGGATTCGAGAGCTCCAGCAATGAGTATAGGTAAGTTCCCCTGGAGTCGGTGGTAGTGGTGGCGGCGGCAGTGGTGAGACTGGACTTTGCACAGATGTGAGTGTCCTAGCAAGGTCGGTCTCCTTGGCAACCAGCCCGGTGCGCTACAGGCTGCAACGTTCACTTGGGTTGCCAGGTCCTATCACTAGAACCGCTGGAAGCTCATGCCAGTCGCTTGGGGACTCAGAGGTGAGCAGCGTCTCTGACTCCCGGAAGCTTCGGGTAAATAGAGCCTAGGGCGGATGAGCCCAGGAGCGGCGGGGCGCGTGCGCGGGGCGCGTCCCCGGGCCCGGACTGGGCGGGAGCGCGCCGAGGGGGTGGGTCGCACAAGCTCCGCTGGCCTGGCGCGCCATCTGAGCCACTCAGAGCGCCAGGCGGCGGACACCCGGGGGCCCCACAATTAATACCCGGCTCTCGCCCGCCGCGCGAGATTCGTGCACCGGCTGTCCGGGAAGGAGCCGCTAGGTCAGTTCTGAGCCCGCAGATTACTCTCTTCCAGACACTGAGACCATCCGAAGCGGTGCAGACTCTGCCCGCGGCCTCCTAGAGAGCGAGCCCGGGCTGAGGACTGTGCTGCGGACCTGGGGTTCAGCGCGATTGTGCGTACCCCGGACCACGGAGACCTTGTTGCAGGCGCCGAGCGGCAGGTGGGCGAAAGCAGCTGCGCAGAAGCTAAGAGAGGGTGAGTAGGGTCGGGAAGTTGGGGTCCCAGAGGACGTTCTTCTGGTCTGGACCAGGCCCTCGCGCCGAGATGTTCTCTCAACCGGACCCTTAAGTTGCACTGTGGACCTGCGGGAGGCTGAGAGGTAAGCATCCGAAGTGTGTTTACCTCGCCGAGAGAGCAGAGCGAGGCAGCATGTAGCCACACCCCCAGCCTGGCGTTCACAGGCGACCCGACCCAGCACCCCAAGCCCGGCGGATGCCACCGAACCTGGAGCTCCCCGGAAGCCTCTTCCTACAGGGAGACCCTGGTGTCACAGACTCCCGTCCTTTCTTTACGTCCCTTCAGTCCAGGCATAGGAGAGGCACTGAGACTAGGGGCACAAACTTAGTTTGAACACTATAAACGCTGCTCTTCCAGTGTTTTAAAAACTGCACGTGCGTATTGTGGATGAGGGCGCGGGGCGGGGGAGGGGGCTGGTGACAGAACTGCGCCACTTGGTCTGCAAGGGAGTAACTTTGGCCTTTCGTGCCTGTTGGGGCGCGGGCACAGCTTTTAGGATCTGGATCAGACCGTCCCTGCGCTCTGAAAGGGGTGTCCCTGCTCTGAGTGGCCTGCGGGGCTGCTCCTGGTGGCCCGGCAGAGGGCGCCAGCTCCTGAACACCGCCCGGGCCAGTGGAGGGGAGGGGATTTGCGAAGCTCCAGGTAAGGAGCGCTGTGAATCATCCAGCGGCGGGGGTGGGGTGGGTGAGCCCGGCTCAGTTGCAAAGAGGCGGCGAGTAGCCGGAGAGACACTGGTCGGGACTGTGGGGCTGCTGTGCCGCGGGAGGCTGTGAAAGTGTCTAGGAGGCGCGCGCGGAGAGTCTGGGCAAGGTGAGGAGTGACCCGGAGCTCTGAGGCAGCACTGGGCCAAGGACGGCTGTCTCGGGATGCCGCTGTGTACCTCCCCAGGCGGGGGTACGGGGTCGGTTTCAGGGCTACCCGCAGCTCTGCCGGGGCGAGGCTGGAACCCGGAAGACAGCAGCCTGGACGGGCGGCGGGTCCACAGGCCGCTACCACCGGATGCTGTTTTAGCTCGCGGGGTCCCGGACGGTAACAAAGGCACCGTGAGGCTGCCGCTTCCACTCACTTCCGTCCCGCTGCCCCTGAGGGGAGGTCCGACAGTGTTTGGATTTTGGAGTTTCGGGGCTGTTAGGTGAGAGGAGGGGCGGGAAGGAGGGCTCCTGGGCCAGGGTGCACAAGCGAACACAATTCCAATTTCGCGGTCTCCTTTTCTCCAGTCGCCGGGGATTGCCTGGGCTCCTGCGCCCTGGGACGCGCCTTCGTAGGGCTTGCCCGGGTTTGAACTGGCCGCTGGGCGACCGCTGCAACCGCCTCCCCATGACCCTCCCCATGATGTCTGCGCGCCGGCTCCCCAGGGGCGGGGCTTAGCATGGGTGACAGTCGGTAGCCCCTGCTTCTAGAAAGTGGAGCCCCAGAAAGTGTTGATTGTATTACTGTGAACAGTAACAGAAGAAATTCCGAGTCTCGAGCCACGGTATGGGTCCGGTGCAGGTTTAAGGGCCTGCCGTGTAGGACTTGCAGACCTGTTGAAGTCAGTTTATCGCAGTTGCGGTACCGTCGAAGGGAAGGGGCCACTTGGTTTCTACCACTCCGTCTCCATCTCAAGTTGTCCACTACAGTCTCTAGCACAGGCACGATTATTGTCACGCCGATGGATCACAGGGGAGGCTTCCCTGTGTGTCTCAGGACCGGGACCTGAGGGGAAGAAATGTTGCTTACAAGAAAGCCAGACAGCCACACTCTGCTGGTAGGTGCCCTCAGCCCCAGTGTTAGAACCTAAGTCACCTTGACACATCTCTCAGCCCAGCCTCGCCACAGCCTGCTGCAGTAAGCGCAGGGCTGGCTGGCTTTGATGACGCACTTGGTACTTAGGAAAATCCCTCTGATTCTGCTTTGCATCTCACTGCCTCCTTCAGAGGGTGGGCTCTGGAAACTCAACTTAAAGAGCCAAAAGGTCCACTAGAGGTCGGTCCTTCTCCAGAAGGGGTGCTGGATGCTTGCTGTTGCAGAAAAGGCTGTTTGTAAAGAGATTCTGCTTGGTTTGGTTTTGTTGTTTTGAGAGAGGGTTTCACGCTGTAGCTCAGACTGTCGGAACTCAGGGCAGCGCCTCTGACTCAGTCTTCTGAGTGCTGGGGTTTCAGGCATGACTTTTTTTTTTGGTAGATTATTGAGTCCGTGCTGTAATCCTGGACACATTTGATCTAGTTGGATTTTAGACTTCTTCTGTTAATGCCACCACTCGAGTGACACCAACTTTTTGTGAAGTTTAAGGAACGTGGAAGAATTAAATCTTAAAAAAAAAAAAACCGAAAACCAAGAACCGTCCTGTAGAATTACAGGGCAGTCCCCTGAGAGGAGTCACCACTGCCTGTGCTTTCCTCACAGGTGGACCTGGGGCGGGGGAATTATCCTCAGCATGAGACAGCCAGGCCCCACCCTATGTGACACGGCCACAGGGCTGAAAGTGTGTGTTAAATTTAATGAGAGCTGCTTTGGAAGTTGCTTTTCCTGAGGAATTTGTAATGACCCTCCCCCCAGCAGTTTCTCTTACAGACCTAAGAATATACTGTCTGTGTGGTTCTAGGAACGCTAAGCTCATGTTTAAGACAGGGGCTTCCGTGTGACCCGAATGCTGCTGAAATGTGTGGCTTTAAAAAGAGAGGTGTGTGACTCTAGCATGACACACTGGGGTTCAGATTGTCTTAGTGTTGTGCCAGCCATGGGGACCTGTGGGGTCAAAGTGGCTGGCCTCGGGCTAACACTAACATTATCTGCCTCTAATGTTGCCTTAGCCAATTGTGCAACCTCTCGGAGCTTCATTTTCCTCCTTTAAGATTGAGATAATAGTAGTCTAGCCTGATTTCCAGCTACAAGGATAAAATTAGATAATGTATGTAAGATTCTTGGCATGGTACCCAGCACATAGTAGCTGCTCAACCAACCAGTGAGGTCCTTCCTCCCGTGTGGCGTCTAGACAGCTGAAGACGGAGACAAGCAACAGCTTGCTCGGCCTCATCCCACCCCGCTTTGTCAGGTTTTCAGTATTGTGCACTGAGGAATTTCTCTTCGTCAGCAAGCTGCGAGGTTGGGGGGGGGGTTGTTGGTGATGGAAACTTTGTCCACTTGCAGGAGGAATTTGCAAGGGCCTCCGGAACTATGAGGCTTTCCTCCTGGCTGCGCCACTGGGTAATTTTGTGGCTAGCTTTCCAGTCATTTCCCTTTCCTTTAGATTTAAAGCCAGTGTCCAAATTACCACCAAGACAAGACTGAAAAAAAAAGACCTTAAAACTGAACTGGGAAAAGGAAGTAAGTATCCATTTCTTTTTTGTCCAATTAATGAGCCATCTATAATACTAAAGAAAAGAGAGTCTGCTTCTGTGAACTGTGCCTCGCAGTCTTGGAAAGAGGACCATTTTACTTGGAGAATGCTGCTGTTTGCTGAGTCTGTAAGAGGCCGGGGAGGAAGGGGAGCGGAGCTCTCCTTGTTGTTCAGCCATGTTTTCTCAAGCTTGGTGGACTGTAGGACCTGAAAATTGCTGTGCTTTTAGAAGCTGCTGGAAGAAGACACACAGTGGTAAAGCTGAAGAAACACAGAGCAGCCAGGGTGTCCATTCTACATGAGAAAACCCTGGGAGAGTTTTCAGCTTCATAACCCTAAATGGAGAACTATTCTGTCTGCTCGCCACTCCTCTCCCTCTCTTCTGGATTTTGCACCTTTATCTTTTAAAAACAAGTTGAAATTTTGGCGGTTCTGTCACGCCATTCGCAGCTTTGGCGTGGCTGTTTTTGGTGTAGCTGGGAGACAGAGGCTCTGTCACTGTGCAGATCCCACATATGGGCATGGAGTTTAGCCCTCCCACCCTGGAAAATGAGCTGACCCTATAACTGGCTTTTCCCTCCCTGAAGCTTTGTGCCTTTAGCTCCATTTGTAGCCACTTGTGCCCCAGTGTGCAGCCTGAAGCAGCTGCAGGACATGCGCCAGGCCCACCCTGCGCTGTTGCTTCCTTTATGGGGATGATGAACAGGCAGTGTTATTTTGAATCACATAGCAGCCTGTTCCAAAGCCGCTTGCATTCCCCAGCTGTTCCACCACATTTTTGCATAAGGGAGAGAACTTGCCAGCTGCTGGACCACTGAAGTTCCATTTACTGCTTTTGTCCAGTAATGGGGAGGTTAAAATCCTGGAAGCATTGTTAACCTACAGCCTTTTAAGTGGTCTCACGTGTCTCTGCAACATCAGCGGTGTTCCAGACAGAGTTAGGGTTTGTCAGGACAAGATTTCAAAACAAATGGCACAACTTTTCTTTTCAAGGTAATTGTTTTAAACATTTTCTTTTGTAAGTATGTGTGTATGTGTGTGTGTCTGCGCATGCACACATGCATACATGTCGTATTGGTATGCACACTTGAATGCAGGAGCCCAAGAAAGACAGAAGAGGGTGTTAGATTCCCTGGAGCCTGTCAAGCTGAGTCTTAAGAGCAATGTCACAACTTTATTTTTCTTTTGTCTAAATAACTTTTTAAAAAATTATTTCAATATTCTTTTCAATTATTGTATATGTCTATATATGGGCATGTAGGTGCTCCCAGAGGTCTAAAGAGGTCATCAGATATTGTGAAACTGGAGTTGCAGGTGAATATGAGCTCCCTACATGGGTGCTGGGAACTAAACTGGTGTCCCCTCAAAGAACAGTATACACTCCTACTTGCTGAACCATCTCTCCAGCCCTTCAAATTAATTTTAAGGGATAACTAGTAGGTATAGTTTTCTCACACTTAAAACAACATCTGATTTATATTTCATCAACTAATAAAGTGTTAAATCTAGGAGTAAAATTATATGTTTTAAAAAACCGTGCCATAGCCAGGCAGTGGTGGTGCAGACCTTTAATCCCAGCACGTGGGAGGCGGAGGCAGGAGGATCTCTGTGAATTCTAGGCCAGCCTCGTCTACAAGAGCTGGTTCCAGGACTGGCTTCAAAGCTACAGAGAAATCCTGTCTCAAAAACAACAAAACAAAACAAAACAAAAACAAACCTGTGCTATATGTATCTGGCTTAACTCTATACATTGTTCTAGTGCA